AATTTATTTATATCTGTGATCCCTTTCAGGAGTAGCATTCCAGTGGGTATTCTTAAGTTCAACCAAACAAGCATTCAAGCTCACAAGACCTAACAGGCCACATTGAAAAAAGATTCACTTGGAAGGATACAAGAAAGAACGTGCAGCATGGCAGTATGGTAGAAGTCAGGCATTTCTCTTGTGCTCCACACAGCAGATTAGGGGCATCCATGCCTCTCCCCTATCCCTCTCCAGGTCAAATACAGGAGCATAAGGCCATAACAGAGGGCATAAGAACCAGCATGGCTTAGAAGTACTATGTTCCAAATAAGAACTAATACATGTTTTTTTTTAACAGTTCCATAGACATAACTTCCAGATCTCTGTAAGGGAATCCTCATAAGAGTCAGTGCACATGGGGAGGTTCCAAACTATGGCTTACAAAAGAGTAAAATTAATGCTTGTGCTGACTATTCTTATCCAGGTGACCACAAAGCAATAGTGATAGAAACTTATGGAAGACACATTATATTTGTTTCTCTCATGGGACTTTCAGTTTTTTAATTTTCCTTAAGCAGTTTTCCCAAGTGATTCCCATTAGATAACTGTAGATTAGTCATACACGAAAATTTATTTACTCTGCAGTAGAGACTTGAGAGTATTAATTTCATTAAGAGCTGCCTTTCTCTGAAATCAACTTTGTGTCCTTGAACTACCTTTTTTTTTTTTTTTAAGATTTTATTTGAGAGAGAGAGAGCATGAGCTGGGGTGGGGAGAGGGAGAAGCAGGCCCCCCACTGAGCTGGGAGCCCCACGTGGGGCTTGATCCAAGGACCCCAGGATCATGACCTGAGCCGAAGGCAGTCGCTTAACCAACTGAGCCACCCAGGCGCCCCTAAAACTACAATGTTTGATAGGCAGTGACTGAAATAAGTCCTCCTCTTTTCCACTCACTTCCCTTTCTTTTCCATAAGGTGGACCCTATGTAAACCTAAAAACATCGTGACTTAAAGTTCCTTTTCCCCTTAGCGCTCCAGATCCACTTTTAGATGTAATCACTGTTTAAGTTCTTTGTATATCCTTCCAGAAATATTATATATATGTAGAGATACACATGCCAACACAGTTTGTTTTTTTAATGGATTCATATATTTGTGCAACTGTTTTCCACTTAATAATGTATCTTAGACATCTTGCCAAGCAGTACAGGGCTCCTGCTCTAATGCAATGTATGGTTTCCTAAAAAACCTCTTTCTTCAAAATTGAACACGAAGAATAACAAGACTTGAGGGCGCCTGGGTGGCTCAGTTGGTTAAGTGTCTGCCTTCTGCTCCGGTCATGATCCCAGGGTCCTGGGATTGAGCCCTGTGTGGG